TTTTCGTTTTTGTTTTTGATATTGTTTTTGTTGAGCCGGCAAGCGACGAGCGCGTGGTGACCATCGACCACCTCAACTCAATCCCAGTTACCAGAAACCATTATGCCATACTCCAAATCCCTTTTAATTGTTGGAGAACTAGGAGGGGACCAGGAGGTGCTATTTAAGAGGGCAGACAACACACTGGAGGAAGAGTTTTGGTAAGAGCAAATCAACAATAAAATAAACAAATACATTTAACACTTTCTTCTTCCACAATATTAAAGCAATGATAGAGGATGCAACCGCGGAATCAGTAAAAATGTACGACCGGAAACGGAAATTGAGAACTTTCACTTCCCTCCTTCACAATCTTTTTCACAGAATTATGATTATATATCATATACATTTTATTTCTATAAACAATTTAATCCACATTTTTTGCTCTGTAAAAAAATGAATCATCTCTCTCTCTAACCGATCGATGGACAATTGAATCGGACAAAAACCTTACCTCGACCAGGACAGGATCCGCTCTCCGATCTCGGGTGACGACCAATGGGGACTGGACAATGGAGAGTGGGGATCCCCGGGGAATATGCAAATTGTTGTAAGCCGACGCGACAACTTCATTTGTTCAACGGAGCAACCGGCGGCCAACGGAAACGCGACCGTTGGACGAGACAGGAAGGCGGGAGCTTGGTGGGGAGTGGAGGTACGGCTCCGGGACTGGGGCTGGGAATGGGGAGTGGTTTTCTGTAGCCACAGTCGTCGGAGGAATGGGAGTGTGGCAGGCGAGCTGATGCACGTAGCCGGCCAAATTGAGGTTAAGTAATGCAGTCAAATGCGTGAAAAATGGCCAGAGAACAAATGCCAAATGGAGTTGGAGAAGAGAAACCCCGCTACAGAAACTGGGCAGGGCCTCCGAGGTGGAGGAGAAGGAGCACGAGGAGGAGGAGGTGGCCAAAAGAGGCAACTTTACCCGTAGGACTCTCAGTGCGTGACGGCAACATGAAACAAGGCAACGCACGTTGCCAAAAAACGATGTTGTCACCACCATTGCCACGATCATTATCGCCTTCGTGGGGCCAACTTCATGATGGCCAACAAAAACCTGATCCCCGGATTAGCATGTTGGCATTCCTGCGATTGATTTTTGCGTTTTTGGGTCACCATTTGCGAAAACTGACGATTGCCTGTCAATCGATGGTATTTGAGGTGCGTGGCCTTATCGTTTTGTGATCTTATACCTTTCCAAGGAATTGGACAGAGTGCATTTTCATCTTTTAGATTTTCCTAGATTTTAAGGTATAGAAAAGTCAGTTCAGTTCAGTTGGATTTGTTTTTAGTTGTTTAGTATTTTATAACTAGAACTTAGGATTAACAGTAAGATCTACGGAAATATTAACATATATGTACATATATTCTAAACTTTAAATATTTCAATATTGGTCTAGATATAAAAAAGCCTATATTACTAATTATTACCAATCTAATTCCTAAGGCTTAAGGTTATTGATCATTTATCTTCAACCCTTACTTCATAATTTAAAACATTCATTAATATACTATTAATAAAGAAAAACTATATATACTATATATTTATAATCTTATAATAATAAAAGGATTCTTTGAACTATTAATTTCCATTTAATTTACTTATATTGTAACGTACAAGTACAGACGTGTGTTATGGAGAACAAATATGAGATAATTTTAAATAAAATTATCTTATAATTTCTGCACAGAAATGCATATATATATTTGTTTTATTTTAAAGACTGACCCACTTGTTGAATGCTCCTGACCCCACGTGGCCGTCGAACTTGGATTGTGTCTCGGTTTTTGGGATGGATAATTAATTTCGGATTGGCACTTGGTCGGAGCAGAAGGAGGAGGCTACTCGGAGGCTGACACCGTGACACCTGTGCCCAGGCTGCCCCTGGAGTCCGCTCGGAGACCGCTCCTGGAGCTGACCAAACTGGTTTCCAATATTAGCAGCAAACATTTGCTGTTTGCCGTTTGGCGTTTGCTCTTTGAGCGCGGCTTCTAATCCGTTTGGAATTTCAGACACGCCAAAGTGGCGCACCGGCTGTTTTAACTGAGCGGAGCATGCCACAGATGCACTGCGAGAAATACATCACTTCGGGCTGGTATTCGCCCAGCATTTCCATATTTTTTAGTTGACTGGCTTAAGCCATGATTTTTTGTCTGTGCTTGCTCTTAGCCCCAGCCAAAGGCTGCCTAGCCAGGTTGGTCGTCCACTTGCTGGCCCGGCTCACTTGGCCTGGCTTGGTTTTCTGGCTGGCTGGTTGGCTCTGTCCCCATGTCCCTCCGCGTCTCTCCGTCTGCTGTTGGCAAAATGTCAAGTGTCTGCTGCGGAAATGAGGCCGTTGTGGCAGCTAGACTTCACAGATAAAGACCGAGACGAAGAAGTTGCAGCAACTCAAGGAATTAGCTACCGAGGAACTCGAATTGTGGCAACTTATTTGAAGCAGGCTATGAATACATAAGCCCATTGAGCAATTTATAAAAATATTTTAAATTATAATATATATTAGAATATCAGCCTCTTGTTTAAATAAGTTAAGTTGTTTTAAATAAGTTAACTTGAAGCACAAAAAGCTGAGCTCCTGCATATATTATATATTTTCGTTTTAAAAGTTTATAAGGTTTTATGAGACTGGTTCAGTGGCTTTATTATCAAAACCTCCATATATTAATATCAATCAGGAATTAATTAATGGCAAAATATATAAAATAAAACAAGAAAGGAGACTTACTTTTGTAAGCCCAAGTTTATATACCCTATCAGTTTGCAAACTAATTATGGGATCGAATCAAAAATTGATCATAAATAAGCTTATATTTTCTGTATTCATTCTTTTAATACATATTTATAGGCATTTTTATATGACAAATTCTTCGCCAAATCAAAGTTTTAAAAAACTAATAACTAAGCAAAAAAGTCATTTATTTTTATTCGGAAACCATTCCTATGTTAGTTTTTGTGTCGTTTATAAATGTGCATACTTAATTTAAAATTTTAAAGTATTACAAATTTTCGCAATTTTTGACAATTTTAATGATGTAACCCCTTATAAAATTTTCAAATTTTTGAAAAAATTAAATTTTGCCCGGAAATAGCCAGATCGACTCGGCTTTTCGTGCTGATCAAGAATATATATGATTTATAGGGTCGGAAATGACTTCTTCACATAGTTTCAAGCTTCTGACTAAAACTATAATACAATTTTTTGAGTCAATAATATCTATATTTTTATATGGCAATTTGTTCTACAATTCAAGGTTTAAAAATCCCATAACTTAGACAAAAATGCTTTAATTTTGATTCGGAAACCATCCCTATGTTAGTTTTTGTGTCGTTTAAAAATCTGCATAGTTAATTTAAAATTTAGAAACTTTAAAAAATTTTGTCAATGATTTTAACAATTTTTAAAATTTTGAAAAATTTAAATTTTGCTCAAACATAGCTAGATCGACTTGGTTTTTCGTGCTGATCAAGAATATATATGATTTACAGGGTCGGAAATGACTTCTTCACTTAGATTCAAGCTTCTGACTAAAACTATAATACCATTTTTTGAGTCAATAATATCTATATTTTTATATGGCAATTTGTTCTCAATTCAAGGTTTAAAAATCCCATATCTAAGCCAAAAATGCTTTAATTTTGATTCGGAAATCACTCCTATGTTAGTTTTTGTGTCGTTTATAAATCTGCATAGTTAATTTAATATTTAGAAACTATAAAAAATTTCGCAATTTTTGACAATTTTAATGATGTAACCCCTTATAAAATTTTCAAAATTTTGAAAAATTAAAATTTTGCTCAAACATAGCTAGATCGACTTGGTTTTTCGTGCTGATCAAGAATATATATGATTTACAGGGTCGGAAATAACTTCTTCACTTAGTTTCAAGCTTCTGACTAAAATTATAATACTTTGCAAGAGTATAAAAATCTAAACTACCGAGATGTATACAAACAATTTTAAATATTAGAGTATACTTTAATATTATGTATACGCCCCGTGTACCGCTCTCTCACATCTCTAAGCCTTGTTTATGTCCACATATGTATAAACACATACTTATATGTATTTATTTGAAGAAAATAATTTCCTTTCGCCAGTCAAGCGTCACATTTTCGGATTTTGATGAAGGAGCTGAAATCTCTCGATCGGCGGCCGGGCTGGAGCACACGCCATGCGCCAATAATAATAACAGGCCTCGGGCCCGGCCTCTCGTCATGGATCGGCCGCCCAATCATTTGATCACATGTTATGTAATCCCAAAGAGAGGAAAAATAATAATAATAATAACCATTTGCCAGCCACCAGCGACTAGCGAATAACAACAAAAACATACTGCATTTTCACGCAGCCTGATGGTGAAGTGAAGTGAAAAGAGCCAACGGATGCACAGTAAAGAAATTAATAGTAATAGTAGAAAGAATTATTCCATACAAATCTAACTAAGGAGAGTAAGACAACGATCCCAAATTGTGTACTTAAGGTCAGTTGCAATGAATGCCCCTCCGTAATGATAATACGATATCTTACCTATCATTTATAGCCTTGAATGACATTATAACTTTATTCGAAAGGGAGTAACTCAGCAAGGAAACATTTCCGACAGAATACCTTCTATTTCTATATTAAAAACATTAATGTTTTTTATACTAATATAACTATATATATTTTTTTCACGTGTGCGAAAGCCAGTTGTGAGTTTTTCCTAATAAAAATCACGGGGGAAATGTTGGAAAGAGGGGGTCTTAGTCTGCGATTCGGCTAGCCAGCACACGCCAGTTCCAGTCCCAGCCCCCTAAAATCTCCAGTCCCGATCCCAACCCGATCCCATCGAGCACTTGAAATTGCATGCCGAATTCGCAAGTCAGCCAACCAACCAGTTTCACTTGCGAAAGCAACCAGCTTCCATTTCCATTTCATTCGAGAGTCGACCGCCAAGTTGCCAAGTTGCGCTTAGAAATCAAAAGTAAATCCCGCTGTCCGGCCAAAAATAAGATAAGTAAATTAAAATTAATAGCAGTTCCTGCCAAACCGAAATAATGCGGGAAGCTGACTTGGAGGACCAGTACGAGAGGTTTCCGGCCATCAAGCGGTCGGAGGTGCAGAAGTTCGTGGAATGGATCCATGCCCAGCCGCACATCTCCGATAGGTTCTCCGAGGGCGAGGCGCTGCACTTCTTCCACGCCTGCCGCTACAGCATGGAGGTGGCCAAGCAGGTGCTGGACACCAATCTCACGGCCCGCACCCACCTGGATGAGTTCTTCGTCAATCTCGACAGCGAGCGGCCGGAAATTAGGCGCGCCATGAAAACGGTGTAGGTAGAAGCATCTTCCTGGCTGCACAGCTTTATAAAGATGGAAGATTCTTTAGTTTTTTAATTATTATTGTTTATATTTTACCCTCCTCGATCAACAGTTCTATTGTTCCACTGCCTGGATCCACTCCTGAGGGATATCGTGTGATTATCGGAAAACTAGATGACTTGAATGCCTCCAACTATAACTATGCGGATGTTATGAAGTTGTAAGTATAAGCAGAAAAGGATTTTGTAACTTCACGTAACTCCAAACTTGAGTCTGATCAAGAATATATATGGTTTATAAGGTCGAAAATGACTCCTCCACAGCGTTACAAGCTTTTTAATAAAGTATTTTTTATTTTTATATGGCAATTTGGTCAACTAATCAAAGTTAAAAAAACACATAACTAAGCCAAAAATGTATTAATTTTTAATAAGAAAGCTTTTCTATGTTAGTTTTTGTTTGGTTTATTAATCTGCGTACTTCATTTGATATTTTAAAATATTACGAATTTTGACCATTTTAATGATGTAATTTTCAATTTTTCGAAAAAATTAAATTTTGCTCGGACCTAGCTAGATCGACTTGGTTTTTGATGCTGATCAAGAATATATATGATTTATAGGGTCGGAAATGATTCCTTCACGTAGTTTGAAGCTTCTGATTAAAATTATAATACCCTGCAAGGGTAAGAATGGTCATAGTAGATCCTAATTTGCTCCTCTTTCTGTAAATCCTTTTCTGAAACTATCTACCATTGTTAGCTACTTATATATAATTAAAAACACTTGTTCAAGTTGTAGTTTATTAATGACTAATAATTGTTGTCCAAGTATTTGCACGTCATTTTTGTGGCGTGATTATGACAAGGCATTCGGAGCATGAAGAGATTTTGGGTAGCAGTATGTGCTGTGCTATCCCCGACTAAAACCTCAAACTTAATGCAACCGAAAGCACGCACAGCTCTCAGATTTAGCAATTCCAGCTTCGGAAATACAGAGTGAGATACACACTCGAGATACTGCGCCTTAATCTGCTTGTGGCACTTATGACGATCATTATAATCTGCTGTATAATGGCAGTCAATTAAGAGTTAACAATTAAGCAGTACATAGTCTGTATACATGTTCAGCTGCTGGACGCGCACTAACTCGACATGATATTGTATTCCTATAATATAACTCCCATAACTCGAAGTGCTTCTGTAGTAAATAAATCATAAAAATACTGACTAAATTTAAACGTCACTTTAGTGTCATAATTGCATTTACTGTCCCTTGTATTTTACAGATACTGTATGGTATTTGACTATTGGATGTACGAGGATGGGATACAACCGGGCCACGTGATAGTGATCGACCTGAAGGGCACCTCCCTGGGCCATGTGGCTCGCATTGGTCTGCTGCAGATGAAGAAGTTCCTCTTTTATCTGCAGGTTAATATTTTTTAAAGTGAACTGCTGATAAGAAGGAAACCCAAGTAAAAATCTCTTTTAGGAAGCGGCAGCCATCAGATTGATAGGCTTTCACTTCATCAATATTGTTCCCTTCATGGACAAGATTCTGGCGTTGATGACGCCGTTTATGAAGAAGGAACTAACGAGCGTCCTGCATATGCACAGCGACATAAATGAGTTCTACAAGTTTGTGCCCAAGGAAATGATGCCCAAGGAATATGGAGGACAACTAGAGGAAAGCAGTTTGGCCAAAGGTGGGTTCTGCATCGAAACCTTCTCGGACTAATGTTTACATGTTTCATGCACAGAGATCTATTACAAGAAACTACTCGATAATCGAAAGGAAATGCTGGAATTCGAGACGCGTCACCAGGTGAACGAAAAGCTAAGGCCCGGCAAGGCCAAGAATGCCTCCGATCTCTTTGGCATTGAGGGAAATTTCAAGAAACTGGACATTGATTGATACGTAGTGCTTTCTGTAGTACCTAGGAAAATTTGTGTTATTGGGGTTATAAATAAAATGTATTTTACTTCTTTTTAAATTAAACGCAAACATTTATTCAGTTTCCGCTTTTAGCTTGGCTTTAAATATACATAAAATGTATGTAATGTGGTGAGTGAAAACTATGACATGTACAATAATGCTTCATCAAATTGAGAATGACATGATCTTATCGCTATGATTTTCAAAAGTCCATCTTATGGGTTCTTACTGGCTAGGCGGCCTGTCTAGGTTATAGGTAAGACCGTCAATCTAAATCAACACATTCCAAGGACCTACACATACTGTTATCTTAACCCTATTATTATCTTTATACATATAAACCTGACCAAACGTAAACTTTCAGTGTATGTGCTACTCTGGGAGTACAAATTAACGTATTAGCTGCACGCCGTCGGGGGGGTCGAGAAATTAAAATATATAATAAGAGAAATAAGGATACGAATTTCAGACACTTGAATTAAAGGAGTTTCTCTGGAATATCATTGAAAATGTTGTATCCTGAATCACAGGCAGTCTTTCCGTTTTGGGGAAATCTTCCTCCTCCTTCGTTTCGCTTTCCGTTGTCAAAGATTCATGGGTGGAACACTTGGTTCATATGGTTGGGCCTCATGCCCGGGCTATTGGTGCTGTTTACCTGCCGAATCGTTGTGTTGTTCTGTCTGCGTGCCTTGGCCTTGGGCGCCGGCTGCTGCTTCTGATGCTGCTCCGCAATGAGGCCGTATGGCGCGCCACTAGGATTTATGGTGATGGGTAACTGGCAGAAGAGTAAAACCATTAGGAAAACTTTTAATTTCAGAGTGAACTTTGCACTTACGGGTATGTTGTAGCGCTGCACGGGCATGGGTTGCGCCACAGGCTTGGGATTGAAGTTGGCCGTGTTATTCTGTCGCTGAATGGCGCTGGGCATGAGGTGGGCCATGTGGTTTCCCGACGAGGAGGGGAGCATGGGATTAATGCTGTTATTTACTGTCGGCGTGGCCGTAACCGTATTTGTCACGGTACTGACCACTGGGCGTAAATATGTGCTGGAGGGCAGCTTCAGCAAAGTTGTATCCGGATTGGGGGGCGGCTGCTGGTTCATCATGGGATTCATCATGGGCGGCCACTTTTTACCTACTGGACCAGTGGCCACAGGTCCCGCCGGGGATGGACAGACGGCAGTCGTTGTCCTGACACTGGGAGTGGGAGGGGTATTGCCTGAAGGCGCTGGTGGCGTTGCCATCGTCGCCGCTTTGGACTTGGGCGAGCGCACATTCTCTACAACTGATGACGAGGATGTTGGAACTGCAGGCGAGAGCGGCACCTGTACGTTTACGGTCTGCCCACAGGTGGCCGAATGCCTGGGCCAGTGCATCTGCTGGCAGGGATAATCGCAATACGAGGTGTTCCAGCAACAGTACAGCTGCGCCTCGCGCATGCAGTTGGCGCACCACTGTTTCTTCTTCGCCTCGTCCACGGCCCGCATCCGCTCGATGTTAGCCTGCTGGCGCAGCTCGCTGATCACGCGCCGATGTTCCTGGTCCAGCGTCTTGCGCATCTCAGAGAGCATCAGTTCACTGGTCCGCTGCAAGTCCGTCAACTGGCGGTCGTAGTGCTGTTTCAAACGCTCGTTTTCGAGCGACAAGCCGGTGATGCGGGCTTGGAGAACACTCTGGTCTCCGGTGGCCATGTCACTAAGGGTGTCTTCGATGACGGAGATGAAGTAGTCTGTGATCTATGGGAAGAGAGTTTGCAAATGAGTTAGGAGTAATTGATATTTTTCCAACTCACCTTATGGGCATTTTCCTTTAGCTTCTGCGAGACGGGTCCTGCCTGTGAGGGATAAATGTGGGAGCCATCCGACTGAAGCGGCCCGCCAGGACGTGCTACCAGCTTGGGCGGCCCAGAGCGCAGCAGCATCTCACTCATGGCCGTGGCCATGCCAGGGGTTATGGGATCATTCGGATGGGATTCACTAACCAGGCTTGGTTCATGGCTTGACCTTCCGTTCAAAGCGCTGGCTAAAAGTCCACCCGCCATGTCTCCTCCACCGTTTCCTTGGGATGCTGCGGACGTGGAGGGCATGGCCGAAAAGCTTAGGCCAGCTAAGGGTGGCACAGATATGGCGCTTGCGGGTTGCGTGGGCATGGACACCGGGGAAGGCGCTGGCAGCAGCGAGGCGGCTGTGCTCTGCAAGGTGCTCTTGGAAACGGCTCTCAGGGGCGGCACCGGTATGGTCATGGGATTGTGCGGATTGCAGTTGTTTGCTTGCTCCACGGGTATTACCACCATGTTGGATCTGAGAAGACTCGATGTTGTGGTGGTATTGGCCGGTGGGGCCCCGGGTGATGAGCTGGGATTGGGTATAGCCCGGTCGCTCTTTACACGGAATTGCTGCTGCTGCTGCGGTGCCTGAGCTGGAGCTGGAGACGACTTACTCTTTGATTGGCCCTGCGGTGGCGGCGCCAGGGCTGGCTTGGTAACCCCATAAGTGCCACTTGACTTGGGCGAAAGCGACTCCGTTGATGGTGCGGATGGGACAAAAGATGGCACTGGCGAGAGAGCCGGCGATGATGCTTGTGCGCCACGACGCTTGGCGGTGGAGTCCATGGACTTGCCTCCCTGCTTTTGGCTCAATTTTTGGATGGTCGTATCGCCCACATGGCGCACAGGGGCTTCCGTGGTGGTTGTCTCCTCACGTCCGGCCTCTACGTAGGGTCGCGAGGGCAAAGAAGGAGGCGGTGGCGGGGCATGGGTTGTGGCATCGGCGGAAGCGCTTCCAGCCTCTGACTTACACTGGCCTGATGTTGGTGTGACAGCTGATCTACCTCCATCTCATCCTCGCTGAGAATCTCTTCTTTGATTTTAATATTCTCGGGAAGAGGAGTTTCTATGTGTTCGGGCGGAGGAGCAGTTGGCACGGGTGATGGCTCCGGTTGTGCCAGCTGTTCTGGCTCTGGTACGGGAAGCTGCAGAGTGGCTTCATCCTCCTCTGGATCCGACATGATCTCCGTTTTGATCTCTACAAATGGAATCACTTTCTTAATGAGTTGCTGTTGTTGACGCTCAACGTCGGACTGTTTCCGGGCTTGATTGCGCTCCGGTGCCTTTGGCTTGGCCACCGGTGGAGAAGTAGGAAGGGGCGCTGCTGCCGGAGGAGGCGGTTCTGCTTCTGGAGGAGGTGGTGCTGCCACTGGTGCTGCCTCTGGGGCAGCCGCCACTGCCTGCTGCTGATCGCGTGGTATCTTGGTGATGGTCACCCCTTGGCGACGTCTGACCAGCTCCACCACAGAAACCACGGAGGCGGGAGAACCTTCTGGAGCTTTTGCCGTGTGTTTCTCAGAAGATTTCTCTACTCTGCTTGGTTCTGGAGACTTGCATGGCTTTTTAACAACTTCTCTTTGTTCTGCTGCCACTTCCTGATCCTGTTCCTGATGCTTCTTGGCATGTTTGACTTTGCGTTTGTGGTCACTGGACTCACTAGTGCAGCTGGCATCGCTTAGGGAATGTTTGCGCTTGGCGGGCACAGCCGGAGCTGTTGCTTCCAGTGCTGGAACTGGTGATGGTTCTGCTCTTTGTAATGGTGCCTCTACAGAGCTTGACGTAGTTTTAGCAGCCAGTGATTTTCGCTTGAGCAGCACCTTGCACCGGGAGTCGCTTAGGGACTCACCGGATCTGGATATGACCTCATAGTTGTTGCTCTTATTAAGCTTGGGATGTGGGTCACTTGATGCTACAGCTTCCGGCGCTTCTGGAGGCTTCTTCACGGGGCTGCATGACTGATCCGATTCATTGCCAGACTCTGTGGTCTTGGTCTTCTTCACTATGGACAACTTATCGTCGGCTGTCTTGCGGATAAGAAACTGCAACGGCGTCTTATTGGCCGGCTCCAGTTCCCGATCAATGGCTTCATACACGCCCGGCATCATCTGCTCCAGCTGCTGTTGCTCCTCCAGCGGGTCGTAGGCTGTGCGATATTCGGCATAGCAGAAGGCCCCGATCTTCATCTTTATATTCTCAATGTGGACCTCGACTTCACGAACGCATTCTGCCAGATCCCTTGCCGATCTTCGACTGGTTTGGGTATTCGGATTCTGGGCGGAGTACAGGAAGCAATCCTTGACGGGCACAAAGGCTCGATCGTGCTTGCCAAAGAAGCGGACATTAACGAGCGTAGAGTTCGAGACACCCATCGCCTTGGCCGGCCAGTAGGGGAAGCCCTTCAGCTTGGCCCAGAGCAGCAGGTGGGGATGCCGGCAGACCTTCACGAACCACTCGTCGCTGGAGTTGGCGTTCAGATAGCACTCCGGGCAGGTGTCGATCTCGTTGGCCTCCTGTCGGCAGACCTTCACCACCGCCTTGGAAGCCTGTTCCACCTTGACATCTGTCGAAAGATATATAGAATGTATAGGATTTCGAAATGATACTATATTATCCTCCACTTACCTCCAGTGTCCATGATCAGGGCGTTGTGCTGGATCCATTTGACCTCGCTGAGGAACTCCTCGGTGCTCTGGTAAGCTCCGCGGCGGATGCACTCCGCCAGGCTGGCGAAGCTAACGGGATTTACAAAGTACTTCTTGTACGTCAGCGGGAAGACCTCTTGCGGCGAACGGAGCTTATGGGCCTGCAAGAGGAGATACAAAAAGAGAGGCGAAATCGTGAGCGAGGGTTGTTAATTCGCCGCACGGCGGAGAGAGCGCCAAGCGTCTATCGCTTGCAAACAAGTTTGCCGCAGACCAAGAGCCCCCATTTCCCTCACACTCACACATGTGTACATATACGGGAATACGAATATGTATGGAACTCTGAAAGCCAAGGAAAGGGAATGACGGGAAGGCAAATATAAATTACTTCTTGTTGCGTTCTTCCTGTTTCGCTTGTACTCGAACCATGGTCTCCAACGGAGAAACCACAGATACATAGATATGGATTCTCTTTTAGCAAAAGCCATCGCAGCTATAGCATATGTATACAGACAGCAGCGGTCATTACATTAGTATTATACAGCAAATTACGTAACATTACGTACATTTTAAAATCAAATTATTAAAAATTATCTAATGTCTAAACACATAAACCAGTTAAAGCTAATATTTTAGCTGACATTTCCTAATTAAATGTTTCTTTGTAGGATCACTAGTGTTTTAACGACGAGTGTAAGCATAAACAATGGTCTCCACTTGTACATATTTTATCCACTCTCCGCATCGCCAGCCTTGTGTAATTGTTTTTAGTGCTTTACGCTGGCCGAGCGGCCATAGCATTAAATTAATTAATTAAATAATTCCCCGAGATTAACATATTAAGCATATCTAACGAGAGAAAGCTTTTTCACAGTAATTCACTTAAACTTAATGGGTTAACGTCTCAAAGTCACATTCCTTTGGCTTCTTTAAGGAAAAAAGCAAAATTATAACCCATGAGAGAGAGTTCTTAAAATATATGCCATAAATATTATGTCATAATGCAAATTGCAAAAACAACAAAACAAAAATATTTAAGTAAAATATACTATTACTTCTCAGAGGGACGGAAATAATTGTTCATAGGCTCATTTACATCGAAAGAGTAATGGTTTTTAATCCTATAGTTCACTTTCAGCAGATCGAACAGTGGATGAATCGATCTGACTGTATTTGCGGATGGTTCAGAGACATTAAACCTCATTATCGTGTATGTACATACATATGAGACCCTCGCGAGTACAAGTACAAGTACGAGTGAGTACCCATACAGCCATCCATTAGCCACGCGAGCACGCCTTTGGCAACGGGCAGATAAGTGAATGGAGAGCGCAGACCACGTGAGCCGTGGAATAATAGCTCCAACTAACGCTTAACACAGGTCGCAACAATAGATAGATAGTGCTTACTGCACCGAAGCTAAAGCTGAATATGGAGCTGTGGCTGTGGGTCTAGCCTCGTAAAAGGTCAAGGGAAACACGAAACCCCATACCCGGGCGTAGAAGCAACGAGACTTTCAGGTGTCTATCTATAGGAAAGAGACCTCGTGGACGAGCGAGTGGAGGCGTAGAGAGCGCAACAACACAGACCCATATCGAGGTACACCTGCGGTCGCATTAATGGCATGAAGACGATGCAAATGTTACCCTTAAAATAGAAAATGATTTACTTGGATTATTGATTTTATACTACATATTGTTTTCATCATTTACGAAGTATCTATTAAACGAGATAATTAGTGATATCTTTTTTATCAAAAAGACAGACATTAGAGAGCAGAAAAATCACCAGAAACTGGTAGGGATCGTAGAGAATTCAGATTTATATGCTTCTATTAATTTGACCGCAAGTACGCAGCTGCCTGCCTGCAAAATATTTTCGCTTGTTTTCTGCTAAAATGCGCTGCTGAAGATAATGAAATCTCGAACGGGAAACAAGATACACTACATATAAAGCCCCGATGGCCTGATTTTCCCGGCATGCTACTCACCCCACGCACGTGCTTCATGCGCTCCAGGGCAAAGAAGAGCAGCTGGCTTAGCAGATCCACGGAGACATCGTTGCGTCGCAGCCTGCCAAGAAAGCATATAGATTAGGGGATCAAGGAAGCCATGGACTATATTTACCTCTTCGGCGCTGCCTCGATTGATTGGCATTCGGGACACTTCCAGGATGAGTCGAACTTGGTGGTGGCTGGTCGCACGCAGTAGGTGTGAAAGGATCGCAGACACTTAGAGCAGGGCATAAGCTGGCCGCATTCCCGGCACTTCCAGCAGAAGGGATCCCAGCCATCCTAGAGAACGAATAGGGAATTAGGAAACTGCAATTAGTAAAAAACCGACTTACCATGGGCGGCGCCTGCCAAATGAGTCGAAGTCGATCGGCCACCTGTTCCTCCTCCTGGTTTTCAGCAGAGTCCGCCCGGTTTTCCGAGAAGGTCGAGTTGTGGGTTGCTAGATCGCTAGCGGACCAATCGGCTTCCACATCCACTTCGTTTGCAGTGTTCAGTGTCAGCTCCGTTTCCGGGTCATCGGTCATGACGCTGTCCAGGAAGGCACTGTGCTTCTTGGCAAAGTCATCGTTTTCGCTGCGTAAGTTGCTTCTCCTCGGCAACCGATCCTCGTTGCTCACGGACAGGGTTTTGCTGCGAGATCGCGTGCGGTCGAACACGCTGCTCATCGGTGGCGGGTTGCTATTGCTATCCTCCACATGCAGCTCATCGCAGGCCATCGATCGGCCTCGTGCCATGCGGGACTTGTCATCATCTTGCCAATCATCATCAGAGTCCCAATTAGGAGCGGGTATGCTCTTGCTCCTTTTCAGGGCCGACTTGCGCGACTTTTTCTCCCTTTTGGCCTCCAAGTTCAAGCTGCGGGAGAGCTCCACCCTCGCTATAGGAGCGTCGAGCGGTTCGGGAACATATCGAGACTTACGGCGCTTAAACTTGGAGACTTCGGAAACGAAGTTGGTCAGCACCTCGGATTCGATATGCGAACGCTGCAAGGCAATCATCTCCTTGGGAACCTTGCTCGACTTATTGTTGGGCGTTGAGGTGCGTTGGGCATGCTGCACCTGAGGTTGAACTTTGGTGAGCTTCATGGTCAGGGAGGAGCCGACATTGGCATTCGAGGGACTTGAGTTGGATGAGTTGCTGCTGCCGTTGGCGGATCCTGGTGGTGCACTGACCACATACTTTTGTCGCTTGCTGGGCATGCTGCTGCTGACTCCCGTCTCCATGTCGTTGTTGCCATCCAGAGGAGAGGCCTGCAGCTGCGGCTGGGGGCTATCGATGGCGGATAGGGCTTCAAAGTCCGGACGGGGAATGGATTTAACGCTGTCCCCGCTGCTGTCACTGCTATCCGTTTCCATGCTCTGTGCTAGATTATAATAAAATATCGAAAAATATCACATAAAATATCAATGTTTTCGAAAAATTATACAAATGTCTATGGATTTGACTTGATTTCCTTTTCTATGAGGAGAGAGCACTCAAAGGCTGAAAACAGGTTTTCTGATATTCGAAGTTAAGTTACACTATCACCGGATCGATTTGACCGATAAATTTGCGAATAATTCAAAGTGAAACACCGGATGTCTTCTCAAGCAATGTGACGAATTCACCAAATGGCAGTTCTGCAAATGCAAAGTGCTTTTGCTCTTTGCTTTGTTTTTCTTTCACCTTTTATTTTGCGTCACATACGCAACTTCGGCGAGTGGCATTCGCTGGTTCTGGATTTAATGGGTTTGCATGGCATTCCTCTCTCTCTCTCTCTCTCTCTCTTACCTAGCTCCGGGCGTCGTTCGAGGGAGACCTCACTGTGGCAGCAGCTCGTGCATTGCGGCAAACCGGAACGGGAATGGTAACGATTTCAGGGGCACCTCTACAAACAACTGGCCATCGCTACTCCCAGGAGATTGATCCAGATCTGCCAAAGAAAAGATAAATTCAGTGTGTTGCTCTGCGAAAAGGACGGGCGGGGGCAGCGGCCAGCGGCCAGCGGGAGTGCAGCGGAATCTCTTTGGCTTACCAATTTCTTTTCGAGAATTCTCCGCCTTCAGCCGTCGCAGTTTGTTGCCACCTGCAGGGCACCGGATCGTGGGGCTTCCGGTGACGATGATAACCCCGATTGCAGACGCTCTCCTGGTTTAATTGATGATTCTTTCGGAAAATTGGCGCAGCTGCTCAACAAAAAAAACATCCTAGTGTGATAGCAACTGCGACTGGCGGAAAATACCAAACCCGAATTCGCCGTTGTGTGTGCGTTTTTCGCCGTCGCTTGTTTTGCGCTCTCTTTGCCCGGCCGCTAACTGCTCTCTGGAGCTACTTCGCCGCCGCCGCTTGTTGCTCTCTCACTCTCTCTCTCTACTTCTGTCAGATGAGCGTTTTAAATATTAATTAATTAATTAACAGCATTTGTGTTTAAATATTTTATCAATGCAGCATCTTGCCGGTTTGGATTATGTTAAACAGAAAATTGCTTTAGTAACATATGCCAGTCGCAGCAACGGCGTAACTTATATTATTTGCGAATAAATTATATTAAAAATATTTTATTCAACTTGTAAGTTGTAAACGCAATATGTACCTTTAGTAATGAACTACAAATCGAAGTCGAACAACTTTCTAAATGGAAAGCATTTAGAGACACTTACCTAATTTATTATAGCCTTGTAGGGTATTATTATTTTAGTCAGAAGCTTAAAACTACATGAAGGAGTCATTTCCGACCCTGTAAATCATATATATTCTTGATCAGCACGAAAAGCCGAGTCGATCTGGCTACGTTTGAGCAAAATTTAATTTTTTAAAAAAATTGAAAATTTTATAAGGGGTTACATCATTAAAATTGTCAAAAATTGCGAAAATTTGTAATATTTTTAAATTTTAAATAAAGTATGCAGATTTATAAACGACGCAAATACTAACATAGGAATGGTTTCCGAATCAAAATTAATGCAGTTTTGGCTTAGTTATGGTATTTTAAACCTTGATTTGTAGAACAAATTGCCATATAAAAATATATATATTATTGACTTAAAAAATGGTATTATAATTTTAGTCAGAAGCTTAAAACTACATGAAGGAGTCATTTCCGACCCTGTAAATCATATATATTCTTGATCAGCACGAAAAGCCGAGTCGATCTGGCTACGTTTGAGGAAAATTTAATTTTTTTAAAAAATTGAAAATTTTATAAGGGGTTACATCATTAAAATTGTCAAAAATTGGAAAATTTTGTAATACCTTTAAATGTTAAATTAAGTATGCAGATTTATAGCCCTAACAAAAACTAACATAGGAATGGTTTCAGAATCAAAATTAACGAAGTTTTGGCTTAGTTATGATATTTTTAAACCTTGATTTGTCGTATAAAAAAAATCATAGATAGGAATTCAAAGAGTATGGATATTTCGACCATTCCGATCCTTTAATTCAATTGCAAACTTCAACTTTTTTATCATATTATTCTAAGCTCAATAGTAAAACGATATAAACACGTATGTTCTAGTTCATAAACCATAAAATTTGTGTTTAGCGCAAAATATACATATAAAAAAATATACAGCATTAATCATTCATTAATACTCAGAGACTTAATCAAGTTGAAAAAAGAGGAGAGCTGCCTTGCAGGTGCATCAACAAGGCCTCAATAATTAATGCATTTACATTATTAATGCGTCTATGAAGAGAGCTCTGAAATTTACAACAAGTCAGGGATTAGATTGGAAAGCACCGGAGGCCATTAAAATAAATCAGGACAAATAATACAACATAGATATCATATATGTTTAGTTTAGGGTGGGGGAGAGAGGGCATGCATCATAATTTGAGGTAATTAAGTTCGGTTTTGTGCGATGATCTCGCCTAATTTGGGCCTTCTGAACATAATAATAATAATAAGCTAAATAATGACCCCGAAATGCAGGACCATTTCCATGAATTTATAATGGTGCAAATAACCTTGAAACTACCATAAATCATTGGGCAGCAGCAGCCGTTTCAGGAAGACTCTTCTTTTATGGCGATTCGAGAGTTTAATTAAAATTAAAAGGCTCCGGCAAGGAGTCCCGACTAGATATAACCAAGCTGGCTGGCAGGTAAACAAGTTATGAATCCCATTACATAAACCATTTCCCCGGCTGACAATCCCACCAACCGGGAGGGAGCCCAAAGTGGGTGGGTGGGTGGTATAGCAGCCCAAGGACTCCTAGGACGATGGCTGAACTTCTACAAACGGTTTTCATATATTCATGGCAAATTATAATGCTGCGAGGGTATAAAATGCGACGAAGAAAGACAAAAGTTGGCCCATTCATAAGGGTCACACTCGGGCGGGCACCGATTCGCCCCGGAACCCCACTTAACCCCCACCCAACATAACATATCCACCTCCTCCGCCCCCTCCTTGGTGGATCCAAAATAGCGACAATGTTGGCCCGCTGCTGGCCACGTGTAAACATGCATCTCCATATATCAATAAATTGAGATTACTTACATAATTTGTATTCCAAAATCCAAAAAACTGTTAAAAAAGTTGCCTTGCCTTTTTCATACGATTGTGTGTGCCAAGGTTGTGTGTGCGGTGTGTGTGTGTGCAGTACACGAGTACATTGTGGAAAAAGTTTTCCTTTTTTTCGAGTGTGAGTGGCTATGGCTGTTGGGGAGTTTTCCTCGGGGAGCAATTCGGTTAATATTCCGAACATAAATTTGCAAAGGAACCACTTTAATCAATGGCCAGGTAGGGCCAACTAGGGGACGGGCAACAGGATACGGATAGGGCAATGGGATCAAAGGGTCCTGCTCCTGGTTCAGACATCGAAGGTGCATTGCACCATTAAGCGGCAGTATTGATTTGCCTTTGCGGAACAATAAGAGTGCAGAAAGGATTCAATACTGCCTCATCGAATTCATTCGATGAAGAATGAGTAGGTTAAATAATTAATATTTGTATATTTAAAGGTGTTGGAAATTAACAAGTAAAAAAGGTTTATATTTAAAGCAATGTTTATAATAACCATTAACTAGAATATTATAATTTAGTGCTGGTTAAAGTTTTAACCAACAATGATATATATTTAAGCAAATACAAAGTTGTGTAGCGAAAACTTCTCTTTAATTTATTAAAAACCACTATCTTATTTACCTGAACTATCAATGTATATATATTCTTTTTACCGTACCTTGTACTCTATTTTCTGCTATTTGTTTTGAACAAATAATACCATCGCTTGGCCATCACCGGCGGCAGGCATAAAATGCCGAGCTCTCCGACTGACCATGGGCTGTCTGAATCTGGTTCCGACTTCACTCCGGACATTGTTTGTTTTGCTGGAACGGAACGGAAGATGGAAATAGAAACGAGTCCGGGAAACTGGCGATGCGTCTCCATTCATAACCCATATTCAATTTCATTTTTGCAGATCTCTCGCCGCAGGCGGCAGTTACGGAGCTCCAAGTTACGGAGTACCAAGTGGAATCAAGGCATCCTCATGGCCGCCGTTGGCTTAGCCGACTTGCATAATCACTGCCCTGGACTTTGAATTTATAGAAAGCTTTTGTGGGCACCTGAGTCACCAGCTCAGGGCCCCCAGCTCCTGGCTCCTGGCTCCTCTTCTGCTCCTCTTCCATTTTTCTCCCTTCTCTTCCATGGCCGGAAAACCCACTCCCAATCTACTGACCAATTATTGAGCCGTTGCCAAATGCAAGGGCATAAAATGAGCGCACATATTGCCGGGACGAGCTGCGTGGGGAATCGGATTGCAAAAGGAGCAGGAGGCAGGAGCAGGGAGCCAGAGAGTTGGCATTAGTTTTGGAGGGGATTTCGGTTGAGGGGAGACGGAGGAGGACGGGGCATTAGAAGGAGCTGTTTGTGGAAGCGGCGCAGAAACAAGAGCAATAACTGTTTGGCAAACAGATTTATTTTTGTGCCCAAGCCAACAGGAGCGGACTTTGGCACTTGAACATATAATCTATTTTTAATCAAACTATTAAGTATAATTTTTGATAAGTTTCTGGAACATTTCAAAGCATTAAATTGGTTCCTATTCAATAGCAAAATAGATTCGCAAAAGAGTTATATCTGTTGTTTCTGGAAGTAATATAATTAAAGCAAACCAATTTAATGTTAAATCATAACTATTTGATAATCTCTGAATTTGATACAGTTTTTAATTAATTTTACCTAATTTGAAACACTCTATTAATCACTTTGGTTTGATATTATTACAGAATACTCCCTAAATTACCAATCCTTTCATCAATCCTCAAACATAAATGCCTTTTCCTATCCCTCTGGTCTAGTTTTCATTTACTCATTGCTTACCTAGAGCTATCTAAGCCAAAGAATTGCTCAGATTTCCTTCGGATTCAGGCGAGCCAAACGCAATTATCCATTTAGGGGCAAAAGCCCAGGCCGCTCCTGGCCATGCTCCTTCGGGCCTCGCCCACGGCCCGCACAAATATTGGTTTCCAACTTTCATTGCCACTGCGGTGCGGCGGCGGCGTCTGCGGAGCCGGGGTCAAAAGCAGAAAAGGTACCCTCTTTGCTCCCCCTTGCTCCTCCTTGCTCGTCCTGGCCCTCCTGGCTGAGGCTCCTGGCTCCTGCTGATGCTACATTAAGTGCATGTTTTGACTGCGCCGCATCCTCGTTGCCTGGCAAGTCCTCCTCTACTCGATTCTGACCATAGACAGTCGGGCCCACACACGTCACACCGCACCCACCGCGTGTTGCACGTGGATAGAGTGGGCGGTGGCACGGTGGCAGGGTGGCAGGGTGGCTGGGTGGCAGGTTAGGGAAGGCCGCGTGGGTGCAGTGCATCATTTTTGCATTAGAAAAGTGCAGGGCCATGAAAACTGTAAATAACCTGGAACACACAAGACTAAGAGCCGAGCCAAAGTCCCAATGGCAGCAGCGCTGCTGGGCCAGCCGCAAATTATGCTTGTCAAAAATGAATGTTGCATACGTAACGTAACGCAAGGCAAGGCGACGTACACCGTAAGAAAAGCGTAATACTCGGGGGTGTTACGGAAATCTCTCAAGGATTTCCTAAGTCATAAGTGTTGGGCAGTGAAAAAAACTCCGGTTATGTGTATATTCTTGTTTGGTTTTTTATAAAATAAATATGATGCATTCATTTCTATGGGCTTAAAAGAAGGAAATAACGTAATTAAATGATTCATGTTTTGTAGCATACTTTTGAGCTGTAAAAAAGTATAAGACTAAATAGTCGTTGAATTTTTGAATGTAACTTGAAATATACAAATTAATATTATAATAGAGAGTCAGAGAGAGACTTTTTTTCACTGTGCATAAAACGAGTGGGCGGTCGCCGGGCCAGGCAAAGCCACAAAGTGTGTGCGACAGGGAGGGGGCATTCGGGGAGCGCTTGGGGCGAAAGCGAGGTCGCTGCTAGAAAATCGCAGCAGTTTGCGGTTGTCGTCATCGCCGTACGTGCTCGATGCGTGGCAATCGGAATCCCTGGAGGTCCGCACATGGCCCACGTATCCGTGCTCCCTCGCACACGTATACGTATACGTAATGTTCTCGAACGTATAGCGCATACGGCGGCCGTGGCTATGGCCAAAGTCGATGCCACGGGCTCGAAGCCAGGCCTGCGCTGCTCCTTGGTCTCGGTCTGATTCTCATTCTGATTCCGATTCTGACTCTCTGGGTCTTTGGTGGTTTTTGGCCAGGCCGCCAAACGGATGTGGCTCTGCGCCCGCCACCGCTGCAGCTTCAGCTGCTTCAGACTCTGAAGGAGCAGCCGAAGCCGTGGGCTGACGTTGCTGCTGACGCAGTTGCAAGGGCGACTTTTCACTAAATGGGGTCTCTGAGTGCATTAAGATGAGAATGGGATTACCGCCAGGGAGTGCTGCTTCTAGGCACTGTGAGAAATATTCATTAATAAGGTTTTTATACAAAATGTTTGTGGTGTTATGATACTGCATTGAAGGTAAGGAGACTAATGTCACACTTGTAGCTGCAGCTTAAATGTAGAATAAATTATAAGGTAAACCCAAACAATCCATATTTTAAGACTTCTTTCTAATTGAATTGCAATCACTTTGCTAAATCCTTCTCACCTTAAGTGCATGTTGAAGGAAACCCACACATCCTTGACCTCTTGGACTCACTTGCCATAATTTTCTCACAGTGCACTTCCTGCTCCGTCATTATTGAAGCATTTGTGTAAGGTGGCAACTGGGAAGCGGAGATTAGGCGCGGAAATGCTCGGAATGTTCGTTCGGTTATCGCCAGCAAACATTTCAAAATGGCTCTGGCAAAAAGTCGGAAATTTGATATGCCAAAAAGCGTTTTGGCGATCAACAAGTGATAGGGCGGGCAGAGGCAGAGCCAGGGACCCTGGCAAATTATGCAGATTGCCTGAAAAGGGGGAAACCGGGGGAAGCGGGGGAAAATGGGGGCGGACGGGAAATGTGAGTGGCAAAGAGGCACTGAGGATATTGAGGAAGTTGGCTGCAATGTTTGGCGAGAACTTTCCATCAAGTGTGCAGGAAGAGACATTGATTTGACTGCAGCGAAGTTTTCCATTATGGAAATGTCATCAAATCGATTTTCCTTTTTTTCCGGTCTGTCCCCGTTTTTTGTTCTTGCTTTCCTCTCCCATAATGACGGCAAATGTGGATATATAATGATGATATTACACATACGCAGCCCGCATTCAAAGGCAAAATGAGTTCTCTTTCTTTTTTTTTTTTTTTGTATTTTATTGGTTTTATTAAATTTATTCATATCTCTCTTTGTGTGTGTGTTCGTTCGGTCTGTTACTCGTATTATTATTGCAATAATAATCATTATTATTATTCCATCTATGTTAATATAGTGTGTAATAAAGCTTGACAATCTATTAATGCTATTACAATGTATTCTCGGTTATATTGTTCGTTAAATGTTCGCTTGTTTGTCCTGTCCTGTCCTTCGATTTTCCGCTCTGTCATGTTTGCTTTTCCGTCCGGCGTCCTGTCCTATCCTGTCGACAACTGTATTCGTGTCCTGTGTCCTGTCAGGATGTTTTGTATTTATAAATGCGTATACACGGGCATACAAGTGTGAGTGAGTGTGCAGTGATGGATCTCTCTCGGTGTGCGATGATGGCTCCTAGAAATTTGGCTAATTTCAGCATTCAATGGATTTCAAGTTAAAATATGCCTGTCTTTTTTTCCTCCTTTTTAATGGGGTTTGGTACAAAATTTGTTACTACTATTCATCATTCGTATTTAATTTATTTTCGCTGCTCGCTCAACGTTCATGAAAAGTTAATTTTTTCTCTGCCACTCGAGTTCAACGCTTCCCATTTTTCGGTTGGCCTTTCTATGAATGCCACACGCAGGAACAGAATCAGATACGCAGGTACACTGGGAGAAACTTATAAGCTTGGAATTAGAGGAAAATTTTATACATTTTATAGAGAAGAAATTGTTTGTGGACACATTAACGCCTTCAATAATTTAAGTAATGTATTTATAAAGTGAACAAAGTGATGGTTCTAATGGTAGTTTATATTGTACATTTTTTGGGGAACATAAAAGATAATTTTCTGTTGCATTTAATATATTTCATAACCAACTTTACTCCCAGTGCACGAATCCAGATACACTCCACGTTTCGCCAGTATCTGTATCTGCAGCCGCATATCCCGTATCCCTGAATCCTGTGTGTGCTTTCCATTTGCATTGAAGCAGAGTAATTAAAATTATAGTTACGTTTCCATCAGTTGCGTGGAAAGCGAGAGAGGCAGCTAGTGGAGGGGGAAGTGGAAAATGGCAAATGGAAAATGTAGTTAAAAGCATAGTTTAAATTTTCTCTAGTCGGGCTTTCTCTCTCTATATATTTGCGTGTGTTTACACTTGTCCTTTGCTTTGGCGCTGTTTGGCGGTTTCCCCTCGGTTTTTTAATTAGTTAAAACGATTTAAAATGAATAAAATATATAGATTGCGATATCGTGAGTAGAATGATGTAATTAAAATGGCCTATGTACATGTGTTATCTACCCATCCATTAGAGCGGACAAATAATACTATTTACTATGTTATATGCTCTTGATTGAATCATTTTAATTTGCGCTGTCAAAAATGAGGTACGCAGCGGGGGAAAGTGGGGGAAAATCAAGTGGGAAAATGCAGTTTTCAACTAGAATTGTTTCTGCTCGGTGTGTTTGCTGTGTTTTGTGTGTGCGCCGTGTGCAAATTTGCTCTCTGTTCAGTTCATAATGCCAAAATACAAAAATCCCTTCGCTCGGCACTCGGCTCGCCTCACATTAAACACAACAATAAATAAAAAGGGGTATGCTACGGGTTAAGCGGGGGACTGTGGAGGGTTAAAAATCTCATGTGAAGTTGTGCAAATATTTGCTTGCATGCTTTCCCATAATTATTATAGTAATTCATTGCATTCATGTGTTTAATTATTCCACACACACGGGGATGGGTATGGGTATGGGTGTGGGTGTGGGTGTGGGTGTGGGTGTGGGTATGGGTATGGCAGGTATGCTCTGTGGGCGTGGTCATGTTAATGGAATTCAAGTGTACTTATTATATTGACTTCTATCGCTTACATATACATTTATCAAGCTCGAATTTGAAACTTTCTACAGACACAAAAATTCATTTAATGCGATCTCTCCCCATTCTCGTACTCTCGATATAGTGTAGTATATATATCTCTGGTATTTTCCCTCTACATTCAATTAGATTACACACAAGTACATGTATATATTTATATGTTATAGATGTGTATTACGTAAATGTTAATGTCGTACTTTCATTTAGTTTTTAGTTTTGGTCTACTTGCAGGATTTCCATGGAGAGAGAGAGAGCGAACCAAAGTGTGTTCTATGTTTATTCGGCTTTGCTAGGATAGGAACGGGTCTATATATATTTATTAAGATTGACTAAACAAATCATATAGGTACTAAGTGTGGAGACAATTCGTATGGAATAAACTATTTCTCGAATTGTCTTTGGTGTAATCCTACGGTAACATGGGATCTCTAACAGGTCATGACGAAATACATACATAGGTTAACAGGCTAAAAACCAGATTTTAAAAACATTTGGCACGACTTTTTACTGATCTCTGATATATATGTATATCTGGGTAGTGAGTGTAAAATTATTTTGATTTAAAAGTCCTAAAGCGATTAGGAATACATTTACATATGTACAGAGAAAAGGAACTATGTTAGGGATGCTGTGGAATGTCTAAAAACTAGTTAAGGTATATCCCTTATACATACATCGATGATGGCTATATGGGCGTATATATATATATGTATTCATTTAATAGATCTGGCTAACATTTTGGGGCCAAGTCCTAATCCGATTTTAATCCTACTCAGTGTCTGATCTCTAAAACGCTCCTCAACATAGTCTAGCACCCCGGAATGGATCTCCGTATCTGAGACCCCATAAACTATACTCGAACTATATACCTTGTGAAGATCATTCTTGGTCGCTATTTCCTTCTAGAATACTCGTACATCTTTGTTAAATTTACAGACTTCAAGTTGGACAACTATGGAATGCTAGCTATAAGGGCTCGGGACAGTGACGGGTCTCTAATGGAGTACACATACATGCGGATATATATTTAAATATATATTAAGAAGTATATGCGCTGAGGAGTCTAGTCTGAGAGTGCGATCCGAATGGAAAATAAGTATTATGTTTGCTGTTAACTTAAGACACTCAAAGATTGAGAGTGATTTTGATTTGAATTTTAATGGGAAGCTATTGAAAGGTTTTCATTTTCATATATTTTATTGTATGATTAATTATTAAGAAACTCGGAGAGATCTATACTTTCCCTTTTGAAATTTAAGTAAGAAATGAATTCTAAAACAAAATCCATGGAAATGAAAACCACAATAGGCCCTCCCCTAGTTCCTTTTGATTCTGCTTTAATTGCTCTTCAGTTTTTAAATTAATTATTTGGGTCCTGTGGCAGTCAATAGATTGTGTGTGTTGTTTGGCTTCTCTATTTAAGTGTTGACTTCATTAATTATTTAATGTTTAGAGCATTCGTGGTTTTCGCTTCTCAAACTGATATGAACAAAACGATTGCCAAGGATTTCGAGGGATCTTTTTCTGAGTTGGGTTGAGGGCTGTTCACGAATCTATTGACCTATTTACACCTGGGTTCCGTAATACTAGAGCGACACAAACTCGCCAGGACCGCCGCCTTTATCCTGGCTCTGCGACGACTCCTGATGCTGCTGCTGCTGGTGCTGCTGCTGCTGGAGGAGCTCCTGCGTCTGGTCTGGGATGCCGCTGGGCTGCTCCTTCGCCTCATTGAACAGCGTTTCGCTCTCGTACCGCTCCTCGTCGTGCAGGGAGAGTGTGGAGCTGCCCAGTCCTCCGCTGGCTGTGATCCGGCGACCCATGTTGTCGTACTTGGGATAAGCGGAGCTGTCCAGGGGCCTCAGGGGCGTCACCTCTCCGATGGGTGGCGTCTGGCAGGCACCAGAGGAGTTCGTCGGCGGCTGCAGTGGCGGGACGCCGCCATTGTTGATGCAGCTGGCACAGCTGGCCGCCGAGAGGGCGGCGTTTTGGCTGGGATTCGGGTGGTGGCACTGCACCACCGCCGTGACCGAGGGCGGCGGCGGTGGCGGTGGCAGCTCCATGGCATTGCCGTGATACACCGCCGACTGGTGGGGCTCATAGCTGCTGGTCTCCAGGTTGTAGGTCACGATCTCGTCATGGGGATAGAGCTGGTGTTGGTGTTGGTGCTGCTGCTGCTGCTGCATCTGCAACTGCTGCTGCAGGGAGGAGTCCTTTTTCAGGATTCCCCTCCTGGCCGCATGCCTGGGCAGCGTGGCGAATTGACCCTCCGGCACGGCCATCGTGCCCGCTCCAGTCTCCTGCACGTCCTGCAGCCTCTTGGGGATATTCAGCAAATCCGGATACATGTTGAGATCGGCGCCATCCAGCATGTCCTGTGTGACCGAGACACGGATGAAGATGTTGCCACCGAAGGCGGGATTCGGTACAATGTTGGAGCAGAACTCGGGCGGCGGCGGGAAGACGCCCACGTTCAGCGGAAACTCCTCGGATATCTGGGCGGGATGCGTATGGGCATGGCCGGCCATCGAGGTGGGCACGCTGATCATGCCGCCACAGGTGGGATCCTTCACCGTCGCCATGAGCTGCTGGCGCGACACCTGCTGCTGCTGCTGCTGTTGCTGCTGCTGCTGCTGCAGCTGGTGCTGCTGCTGGGACTGCGGATGCTGCTGCTGCTGCACCAACATGCTGCCATGACGATGGCTCTCCACCGCATGGATCTCGATCTGGTTGAAGCCCATTCCTGCCGACTCCGCCTTGTTCATGCCCATGGACGAGGGCTGGTTGTCGATGCCATAGCTGTCGCCACGATCGTTCGTGGTGGTGGTGACACTCGAGTCCAGCAGCTTCTTCTCCTGGTCGTTGAAGCTCACGCTGGACTTGACGCCCGCCTTGTTGGCATGACGATGCTGGCGCGTGGTCCTCTTGCACAAGCAGACCACGAAGGATATGGATATCAGGAGGAAGACGGTGCCGAAGATGCCCATGATGAGGCCAAAGTACCAGAACGTCTCCGGCGTCTTCTCCAGCACATGCTGCACTATCTCGCTGAGGTAGATGCTGATGTTCTGGGTCATGCTCCCGATGCTGTTGGAGCCTGTGCAGGCGTAGGTGCCCGCATCCAGGCTGGTCACGTTGAACACGGTCAGGTTGCTCCACAGCTTGTCCGAGGCGATGCTCTCCGTGTCGAACAGCACGTTGTCGTTGTCCAGGATCTTGCCATTCAGCTCCCAGGCCACTTCGGGCAGCGGATCCCCGTAAACCAGGCAGCTGAAGGTGGTGTTGCTGCCAATGTCTATGTTCTGCACCTCCTCGTTGTTGAAGATCTCCACTCGGGGAGGACACCCGAACAGCTCGTCGTCCACGCTGTCCCAGGTGCGGTCCTTCTGGGCCGGAGGTCCCTTGCACACCAGGCTCACCGAGCTGAGGCGGCTGTTGACGTACCAGCCCCGGAACTTGCGCAGCTTGCAGTTGCACTGCCAGGGATTCTCCTCCAGCGACAGGGTCTTCAGGTTGGCCATGTGCTGGAACACGTACTCGCTCAGGCTCTCCAGCAGGTTGTTCTTCAGGTTGAGGAACTCCAGCAGGTTGAGGTTGGCCAGCGACATGGGGTCTATGTAGGATATCAGGCAGTCGTGCATGTCCAGGGTCCGCAGGTGGGGCAGAATGGGGAACTGGTAGGCGGCCAAGCGCTTCAGGGGATTCCCATTCAGGTACAGGATCCTCAGTCTGTCGTTGCCCATGAATGTGTCCTTGTCGAGCATCTCCAGCTTGTTGTCCGACAAATCGATCTCCACCAGGATCTTCAGGTTGCGAAACGACTCCTTGTGTATGTAGTGCACCTCCGACTTCTTCAGGTAGATCCTCTGCAGGTTCAGCAGGCCCAGCGTGGAGAACTCCTCCCGGTTGAGGTACGGAATGTGGTTGTCATTGAGTACCAGCACCTGGAGCTCGGTGCTCAGCGTGTTCGGAATGGTGGTCAGCTGCAGGGAGCTACAGATGGCCGACTTCTTGCCATTGGTCCACTTGCAGGTGCAGTTGGAGGCGCAGCTCAGCGACCAGTCGTCCGCCCAGGTCCAGGCCACCAGGCAAAGGAGTAGCCAGCAGACTGCAAGGATAACAAGTATATACTAATTACATCAGACGAGATAATTGGGGAATGGGTTAATTGATATATAAATTGCCAAACAAAGTTCGGGAAGCCAAAGTTTATAAGTCCTTGCAAGCGAATAATAGGATCCAATGGAAATCGACAAAATCACAATTTAAAAATCTCATAACTAAGTCAAAAATGCATTAATTTTGATTCGGAAACCATTCCAGTGTTAGTTTTTGCTGGGTTTACAAATCTACATACTTAATTTTAAATTTCAGAAAATTAAAAATTTTGCCAATTTTTGACAATTTTAATGATGTAACCCCTTACAAAATTTTTATTTTTTTGAAAAAAATAAATTTTGCTCGGAGATAGCTTAATCGACTTGGCTGTTCATGCTGATCAAGAATATATATGATTTATAGGGTCGGAAATGACTCCTTCACTTTATTTAATGCTTCTGACTGAAATTATAATATCCAGCTAAGGGTATTTTTATTTGTTGTGTTCTAACCATATTAATTATCATAAATTTCTAAGGCAACATCTTACAAAACAGAATTCGTACAAAACAGAAATCTATATTTTGTCTTCAGCAAAGTTCTTTGGTTGAAATACGAGAGCAGATTGACCCTCGATTTATATTTAGTTCGCTCCCAGGTGCTGGGTATTGGCAATGACAACTCACCTGGCAGAGCCATCGGTGTCCTGCTCCTGCTCCCTTGGCTCCCTGGGCTCCCTGGGCTCCTCCTACGCTCCATGCTGCGGTGCATATGGCTTCGCTCCTTCGATTTCCACGACCCTGGCAATTGATGACCCTAAATGGCTTCGGCTGATTCGATTGCCATGTTTCACATCATGTTGCCGCCGCCAGCAAAAAGGTCTCCATTACTCCACATTACTCAGCACTTTGGCCACACTTCGCCAGTATTGATTTTGCCCTCGTCCTGTCTCTCTATCGTCCTGTGAGTTCGACACGGAGTCCTTTCTTTTCTTTTCCTTTCTTTTAATTTGCTTCGAGTGGAAAGTTGGTCGTTGCTGCTACTGCTGCTGCTGATGCTGCTGGTATCCTTCTTTTCAAGATTCTTAAATCTGCAAAATGTAAAAGAGAATCCGGTATTAGCGTGAGCGGTCCAACAATGCCCATTGTAGTTGTGTAGTTCTAGCTGTTAAACACTGAGAAAATTAATTCAATACTTTGTAGTTGCAAAAAGGACATAGGAATAGACGGATTTTATGGCAATTTAAATGTTCCAGAGCACACAAAAGGACTGGAACTGGACTTTGGACAGTCACCTCCCAATTAGGTTTCTCCCATTTTCTCGCAGTGCACCATTCTGCCCACACTTGGCCCATTTGTAATCTCTGTTTACCGAGCTCGGCTTTGGCCTTTGAATAGAGTTGGGGAGGAGGGGGAGGAGCCTGCTGGGGTGGGGCCAAGTGGCAGGGGCTTTAAAATCGCCTTTCAACAACATTTTGTAATTTGTTGTACGTCGTCCTGGACGGCTGGCTGGACGGCGATGGCACAACAAAGCGGCAACCAAAACCTGCAGGGGTACAGGGCTCAAAACTTGGGGAATTCCCAGCTTCCTACCCGTTCCCATTCTCATTTTCATTGGCATCGACATCGGCATCTTTACAAAATCAGCATCAATAGCCTGTCGAATGCTTTTTACTTTTGTGCTTGGCCCCTCCTCATTTCGTTTTTTTCTTCTCGTTTTTTCGTTGTTTGTACTTCCTTTGAATCAACATTGGGGGAGCAGCGGGACTGGACTGGAAAAAATCCAGTCCAGGAGCGGCTGAAGGACGCAAGGGGACTTCACCTCAAAGCTAATTGAATTTCGTATTCCTCGTATTGTTATGGTAAGTAATATATTTTGTATTGTTAAACTTAAAGTCCTGCAATTGGGAAGATCAGTGGCCGAAATGGCTTAATTTAATAATCTAAGAACTAGCAAAGTTTAACTAAAACGAGCTTAAATTGTGCTTTCTAGTTGCCTGTATTTTATAATTGAAGGATTTTCTGCTGGCCTCTTTAAAATATGGTTATAATTATTTAAAGAAGTTATGTTATTTACTGTAATATATTTAAATTTCAAATGTTAACAAGGCCGTTTACATTTTATCAAGAGCGTTTTAAAATGATTTGTATTGAACATTAACTCAAGGTAATTTCGTGTCATTTTATTTAAAAATTTAACTCAGAATGAGTTCAATAGAGATCTGTTTTTGCATTAATAGAGTATCGTTCTGAGAGCTCTCTGTCTGTTCGAGCATAAAAGTAATTTAGCTCAACGGCAAATGCCTAATTTCACACAATCTTCATCCGAAAGTTGAGCCACATTTGCCGGGAGCTTTCCTGGAGTCTTCAGTGCCATCCCAGTCCCCATCCTGTTGCCATCCTGCAAGCCCCATCTTCGTCCTCATCCACGTCCTCATTCAAAGGCATACCGAGCAGGAGATACAGACAGACAATGAAAACGTAAAAAGCTCAAAAGGTTCATTTGTCAATTTGCCATTTGAATTTGTATTTGAGAATTCACTTGGCCGCTTTTGCGCTTTGTCCTGTGGACCTCCCAGAGTCATCCCCTCCTCCTCTCCGCACAAAAAAAGGACGATCCACAAAGCCTTGGCAGCCTCGATTCCTGCTCATCGCTCCTCGCTGGCAATGCGGATAATATTTCCTGTGTCAGTGCAGCGGCAGCGGCAGTTGGCAGTTGCAATTGCTGACTTTGCCTCAGACTGGAAACGCTTTTCCCAACCCCCCCTTTCCCTCCCCCTGACAGCCCAGTTTCCACACCAGTTTTCCTATTTTCCTTACCAATCGTCAACAGTTTTATTTTTGCTGCTTCATGAGCACACACAGAGAGAAAAGCTTTTGGATGAAAATATAATTGTATAATTCAGAAGTTACAGTTCAAAAAGCATTTATTAATACCTATATTAACATTTATATTTTTATGTATTGTAATATGTTTTTACAATTAATTTCTCTCCATGTAGGGACACACAGAGGGCAAATGTGGCGAGATATGGGCAAGGCACTCAGAGGGGCACTTTTGGCTGCAAACCGCATCGCATCGCATCGGCACTCACAGGTTCGTTGATATTCATAAAAATGTGGCACAGTGGAGCAAAAAAGCAAAGCTAATTTGATGGCCAATTGCCAAAACGAGGCCGGGCCAAAGAGCGCGCAACAATATTAAAAAAATATTATGGCCACAAACCCCACATAGAACTAGAATATGTTGCAAAAGGACCAAAGGACCGACTCTGACTGACTGCAGCCGCAAGTCGTAAAGCAAATCAATTAACTGATGCCCCAGAAAGATAGGGATTCCCCCTTCTGCCCTATCATCTCCACTTTCCTACTTTTCTACTTGTCAATTGCTCAGTTTTCTTGTATTCTCCGAATTCAATGGAAATGCCACTGGCAGACATTACATTATACACATAACCACTTGTATCTCGTATCGTTCTAATCTGCCCGGAATGACTCGTAATTGTTAACCTGTAAATGAAATTTGATTTCGGGGCTAACAGCTAGATAATCTGAGAGGCAGTTTAGCTGCAAATTGATTTCTGCCAGCAGATGCAACAGTGCGTATGAGCAATGACATTGCTACAAATGGGAAGTTTCAGGGGTTTTTAGTGAAAGCAATTGATGGATTTTAATGTTTGGTTTAGCTTTAACTTAATTTTATTAAATGAATGATAAATAAATTATGATTAAACCCCACCGAGTTAAGTTCTTTTAATTAAAAATCCCTTCTCAAAATGATTCAATCGCTTCTTTCAGCCTATAATAATATTAAATAACATGTTATATGTTTATCATTGCAAAACACTTTCATTAAATGCAGCGATGGCTTAAAAGGTTTTAATGCCGAAATGAAAACATCCCTCGGAAGGGGATTATTAATTTTGTGGCAAGGCATTAATTATTACATATATATGTATATATAATAATAATAAATTTTAAGCAATGTGATTCATTATTCCTTGCCTTGCCTCTTCCTGCTCATTTCGACTTTAATCTCTGGGAGACAATCCATTATCTCTCCTGCTGCTTGCCGGGAATAATGAATGCAATTTTTAGTTAGCCACGCTTTTTCGGCTTGGCTTAATTGTCAGCCGCTTCCTTTGGCTTTTTTGCTAACTTTTGTGTTGGCCATGTACAATTCCATTTGACAATTGGAATTCAATTTCAATTTCTAGCTTGGTGGAAAAGTTAACTAAATGACCGGGGCCCGCCCTCGACCACGCCCCGCTCATTTGTAAAACTTCATCAAATATAATTGTCGGAAAACAGGAAAAAGTCCTTGTCCAGGACTAACAATTGGAGGCCAAGCCCCGTGCTGCATTACCAAATTAAAAACAAAAACTAAACTAACTTTTCTGCCGGTTTTTTTCCCCCAGCTCCGCTTCTCTACTTTTTTTGCCGTCCATGGACCATGGGGGTGCGTAGGCAGGGGCGTTGACAAAGAGGGGTTTGTTTGGGACAAGCTCTTCTTTTTTACGGATTATGGATTATGTAAATGCAACTGAGCTTATCTACTTGCTCTGAGGGACGGTTTACCTAATCGAAAAACCATGTGTCAACCAAATTGACAGTTTACAAATGCAGCAAAAATATCTGCAAAATATCAATTTTCCACCTGTGATATTGTATAATTGAATTAAAAAAAAGAAAATATATAAAGTTAGAGTTCAGCTACAAAAAATGTAGCGATAGCTATTGCTTGTACATTGACAAGCAAAGCGTGGAAACTTCTTACAGTTATATATTAAATTATGTTTGTATTAAATAAAGTTGAGAAAAGTATTTAATAATGTAAATACTCACTTGTAATTCACTGATCTCTTGAGACATGCATAGTTTTTGGAAAACCCCTGTTCTCACCTCAGCCCCTGGACGTATGCAAATGGTTTCTTTGCCGCCTGGCTGAGCACTTTCTCCGCATTTCACCGTCACCGCCCCCTCGCAAGACCAACCTCCCACTCAATCCTCCCACTCAGGAGACCCTCCCTCCTCCAGCCCACTCTCATTGTTTGGCTGTTGCATAAGCACGTGCGAATGTGCGTGCAAATGCAAATGGCGATGGAAAACTTTTTAAATTGAGCAAACATTAACAAAAAAGGCAAATCCTGAAGTGGCAGGAGCGGCGGGCGGGGCACGGCACTTGCACTGGCAGGGCGGAAAAGCGGAAAAGCGGAAAAACCAGGGGCAGCGTCGGTGAACGAATCAGGAGCAGGTTGCTCTTATCGCCTGTCATCGGACAGACGGGTGGACGGGCGACGCGTCGGCTGCCTGCTGGCCTATTTGTTTTTCCGCCGCGCAAAGCTCTCGCCAATCTTTCAAGGACAGCAACCAAAGTGTAAATTGCAAACTTTTCCTTGAAGAAAAGCCCAGGGAGCGCGGGGTGACTGGAGGTCGTGCAACAAATCCGCACATAATCGGAAAAGTGTCAACTGAGAAGAAAAAACAAGCGAAATTAATGGCACTTGTACCGCCGCCAGGCCGAGATTAGATGCCGTCGTGGCTGCTCTGACGTTGACCGTGTTGAGTTTTATTGCCGCACGGAAATGGTTTTCATAAATACACAAAACTTCCAAGAGGAAAAGCGGCAGGCCAGGCCAGGAGAGGAGAGGGAGAGGAGAGGGGCTACAGACACTTACGGCGGAGATGGAGGGAAATGCAATGCAATTATCTTGGGGGCCGGAGTGCAAGTGCAAGTGCGCAGCGTGTACGTGCGAAACCGAGAAACAGGACATTCGCCTCTTCAGCCGAAAGGAGCCACGGGGCTGCCTCCTTCGGCCTCCTTGCACAGGAGGGGTGTGAGAAGGTCGCCCAGAGCAGGACATAAACATGTGCCCGGGCTCCTGCGACCAGGAAAATGCAATTGTTATTGTTTGCCATGGCCTTCGCCGCTCCGAGCATTGTAAATCTATCATGAGCTAAGCTAAGGACACTTGGAAAAATGATATAAATAAAAAGGATGTCTTTTAAGGTAGAACAAAGATAAACAAGAAAGAAAGCCAAGTTCGTAACTTTATATACCCTTGCAAGAGTTTAAATTGAAAATTGATAA